CCCGATGGAGACCCTTTGGTGAACGTGTGACAGACAACTCATCGTGAAGAGGTTCACTTGTTCGGTCTTTGGCATTTTTGACCAGGCAGACGCGCTTCCTATGTAGTGTCTAAAAGAACTGTTTAAAGTCTGAGGATCACATGCACTACCTCATAACAAGCAACCATATACAAAGCATCAAGTTTATTTAACGCAGTCGAAAACATTCAAGTAATCAGACAGATCGTAAATATAAAGTTATTTCGGCAGATCTTAACTTACCGGTCCATCAAGAAATCAAGCTGAAGCCAGTCATTTGATTGAAGCCAAATGGGATTTTTTTGTGACCGTGGTTCTCTTCAGATGGACAACGGTGAGGACATAAACAGCCGCTGAACCGAATCGTGTGCCAGACAGGCGTATGACACAAAGGTTTGCTTGAAGATCCAAGAGTGTAACAGGTTTCTGGATGCCCTGAGAACTGTTGATCGCCTTCAGATATGTTCATACAATGTATAGATCACACCATATTCATACGGTTCACGGTTCACATATCGCTCATACCGTGGATGCTTACCGTATACAGGAAAGAGGAAGGAACTACGTATATGAGGTACTAACAACAGAACACATCGTGGAATAATGCCACATAAATGCCCACCGCAGTTTAAAGGAGGAGCTTACTCAATCACTCAGAACACCTAGTCTAGGAGGCTGCAGGTGGAACTCTAAGAAAACAAAAGGAAGGTTGGTGTCCGTTGGGATGTCGCCTCTTCTACAGTCTCATGATCATGTCACCAGTATTCTTCGTTTCATGAAGCTTATTGTGCGGCGCCGACCGCCACTTTTATGCCATCAATCAAAAGTGCTCTTCCAGAAGACAGTTCTTATAACTACGTTGCAAGCATAGTGTGTAGACTCTCCTTCTCTCCTGTCGTCACTTATCAATCTCGGAGGGAAGGAAAGTGAGTAACTAATAAGAGACATTCCATAATGACAATACAACGAATAGTCGAGACAGCCTAGTCCACGGGATAACTGGTACTCTAACGGTTTGCTTTTCCCTGCTCTTTATGTTTTTTACACTACTGCTACGCATATACACCTTATTATGAAAATCACGGATTTGAGCTAAACTCGGCTCCTTGTAAAGGCATAATACTTGGCAAAAAATGTATTTGCGTAAGAAACACGAAGACAATGGAATAGCCTTGGCATAAAAGAAATATGTCAATTGTCAAGTTTGTTCTGAACCATAAAAGAAGCTAACAGGATTGCAGAAATTCCCATCCAACCATTTCCACCAGGCTTAGTGATTCGAACCTCCGCGAAATGCGCTTCAGAATCTTTAAGATTTTGTCACAAAATTCATGTCGATGGCAAACAGGCTTTTTACTCGTCAACGAAATTTGCTGTTCGCAATCTATCCTTGGCCTCCTGGCTTAGAGCCTGCAACGATTTAATTACTGTATTAAATGATAGGAATAAATACGAAAGAATGATTGCGGTTTGAGTACCTCGGAACAGTCGGCCAACAACTCATAGGCAACCGAGGTTGACTAAACTTCTCATCCATTTACGGCTGGTCTGTTTAAGAGAAGTAAACTATTCGCACGACTCTAGATGATGAATGGATCGAGAGATAAATCAAACAACGATGAGGAAAATAGAGGTAAATTTTATCTCTGCATTATGTACCGCCTGAAGAGAGGACGATCACTCACGGAACAACGTTGGCCGATGAACCGTCAGAGCAATGCCGACCGATTTGATGACTTCTTGGAAAACCTTTGCGACTTGGATGGTCAAAATCTGGAAAACCCTAAACGCGGCAAACTACCACTGTCGAAACAATGGCGGATCAGAGGAGAAAATTACTTACTTATCACTCTTCAGTTATTTGGATTTGGAGACGCAACTGTTGTGAAAACTTGCATGAAAGGCTTAAGCACATGTGTAACAGGGTACGTGATCATAACATCGTGGTAGAGTACGTAAACACGTCTTTCGAAGCATCATGCATAAAAGACAACGGAACCTCAGACCTCCTAGTTTTATTGCACACAAACTCGTTAAATCGTTTATGATCTTTAACAACGGTAATAAGCAACAGGAAGATGAGCTCATCTGAAGACACAACTGATCAATTTCTTAGAACCGTTGTTTTTCTTTCCAAGCATTGCTCGTCAGATATTTATTTCAAAACACTCCAAAATCATAACATGATTTATGCCCTGATTATCCGTCATAACATTTCTGCACTATGCTTACAATAAGCTGCTGCAAAGGAAGTGTTTACAACATAATGCTCAGCAGTGCAGTTATAGGTCGCAGTGTTAATAGCTGTTTCGCACGAACGTTTACAGGAAAGAAGCATTACGCACGAAACTTCTGAAACTACGTCAACAGTAGCTGTAACGTACAATTAAAGGCTGCGTAGAAAACTGCAATGGTTAAAGATCAAATACTTGATCTGATTCAAAATTTAATTCTGTTCCAAACCCAGCATGTACGGGTGTAAATTAACAAAGATGGTCGATTCCATGAATAAATCAATAAATACATTATAAGTGATTGGTTTCGGTGGCAAAACAATTGCTCCACGGCAGAGGGGGGGGGAGTTTGAGAGCTTCCTCTCGAAGCACCTTTTCCTTTGCATACACTTTGTTCTCTTCCCGCGACTTGGAAATATTAAATTTAATTATTTAGCAACGCGTGTGTTTGTTTTGATCATCATTTTGAGACGCCTGAATGAGTATAAATCTCTGGCTTGTTATGTCCACCATATGAACAACTTTTCAATACTTCTGTAGTAGTACTGCTCTCCGTAAACAGATCTGTTTTAACATTATTCCATAAGGTTGTATGGTAGTCTCCATGTTGACACTTGTTAAATCTGGTAAACGACAAGCACTAGATTTTTTCACCGTCTGCCATGAAGCTACCTCATTCTTGGAGTGAATTATTTTCCATTCTGATTTTTTATTTTCAGCTGAAGAATTTTCCGATTAGCTTCGTCTCGACGTCAGAGTGAAATGCTGCGAAGAGCGGTGAGGTAAGTCGAAGAGCCATTAGATACTGATAATGCGGCATCATGCGACGAGTTTTCGAGAGGGCGAATATGCTGCCATTGGTGAGACAGGCCATGGAAAATCGCACGGCTTCACGACAGCCAGTTCTGCTGGTTACCTCAGCGACTTAGAGTGAGCATGTCATTATTAAGTAAGGATGGTGACTCACTCCAAAAACCTGTCATCCAAGCCTGGTCTACATGTACAACTTCTAACGAATAGTCCGGCGTTTCGCAGTTTCGTGGTTCCTGATCATTCACCTAACTGCAACATTTGAACGACATACCAAACGAGCTAGAATATAAAGTCCAGTCCACAAAGTCTCAAATATAAAGTCTGCGGTAATCTCGTTTTACTTTTCTTCTGCAAAATCTTTCAAGAAAAACAACACAACGAATTTCGTAATATCAGAACATACTCCAAAGGAGACACATGGCTTAAGAAAAGAAACAAGGCAATGAAGAACGTAATAAAACACTAAACAAACCAGCCACTATCAGCACCGGTAAAAACAGTTAACGCTATAGAAAAAAATAGTATCCTTATGTGGCTTGCATGTACATTAAAAACAAATATGCAGGGAATTCCCGTCAGTTGCGTCCCACTTCCACTAAAGTATAAAAACAGGCCTTGACACGGGTTGTTCTGGAAGTGCCGGTGCAAATGTAGGTAATTGATTACGTAAGCCACGGTCACGGCAGAAGCAGTGCATTCTTCTGGACACCAGTATCGCTTCTTTTTTA